GTTTTTCCTATAAGCTCTTCACTTCATCAACTGATTTCACATTTCAGTGTTTCCTTTCAGATTAATCCTTTTGGGACATCATTGCTTTTAGATAATTGAGGTCATAGGGTGTATGTATGAATATGAATGTTTTCCTTTCACATAATTTTATAAATATGTTTTCATGTTCCTCCATGTTCTTCTAGTAGCTGCAGGCTGTTCTGTGATGTTAGTATTCAATAGTTTAATCATCCATTAGTGGGTTGTTTCCAGTTCTGTATTATTCTAAGTCTCACTGACATAGTATTTTAATACACAGATGTTTTATCCTTTTGGTTTATTCCACTGGGTCAAATCCCTAGGTTAAAGACTGGGTCAAAGCACACCAACACACTGGCTCTTGCTAAGTGTCACCTAAGGGTGTTTCCACATGTCCATTTACTTGGCCACTAGCCAGGTGTGACTGTACCTGTTTCCCAAGGTTTTGATCAGCATTGGGCTTTTAATTTTTACCTGGTTTAATGGATGTTAATTGGGACCATACTAGACATACAGTCTTTAATTTGCATTTCCCTAATTGCTAGGTAAATTGAGTCTCTTTTTTTAAATATGTTTATTGTTTGTATTTCCTCCTAGGTGCCTATTCAGTTCAAAGCAACAGACATAATTTGAGTGCCCACCATGTGCCAGGTGCTGTGTGCTATCCTCAAGGACGATGAATGAATGAAAATGACTATTTGGGTTAGGGTGGGGAAGCCAGGGCAGTACAGACAATATGTGACTAACTGTACTCCATCCGTAGAGGTGCAATACTGGCAGTCAGTATGGGTACAAGACAAAGAGGAAAGGGTTTGACCCTGTTGAAATTAGGTTATGCTTTTGCAGAGCAAGTGCCTTTAGAGCTATGACTGAACAATGAGTAATATTTGTCCCACTGAGAAAAGGGCCTCTTGGGGAGAGGGGACAATATGTATCAATTTAAAGGGGTTAAATAAACTAAAATACAGTACTTGTGTATATGGAGTTGTGACTCTTTCATTATGGCTAAAATGTGGAATGTTGGGGGCAAAGGATGATGGGACATTGGCTGCAAAGAAAAGGTCAGGACTAAATTCAGGAATTTGATCTTTATCCAGAAGATTTTTTTGTTATTAAAGAATGATGACATGAGCTGATGTGTGTTTTAGTAAGACCTTTTTGGGAGAAAATGTGAAGCCAATAAGAAGAATCTGTGTCCTTAACTATGTACCCAGGACTATAGGTAAATAGGACTATGGAGCTCTGGTGGTGCAGTGCCTAAGGCATTTGACTGCTAACCAGAAGGCTGGCAGTTCAAACCCTCCAGCCACTCCACTACAGGAAGATCAAGCAATCTACTTTCATAAAGATTTACTGCTTTGGAAACCTATGAGGGGTTGCTATGAATCGGAATTGACTCCATGGCAATGAGTTTAGGTAAGCTTTTTATATGTTCTACTTAAAAGTATAGTACCATTTCATGGCTCTCCTTTTGACTTAATTTAGTTGATTTTTATAAAAAGAATTTGAAATTTGTGTGAAGTCGATTGAGGGGGAGTAATTGTTATTGATGCTTGCTCAAAGCTTTACATTGTATAACGCCCTTTAATGTACATGATCTCATTTGATCCTCAGAAGCATCCTTCTGAGGTGGATATTAGGTCCATTTTACATGAGAAAGCTGAGGCCAAGAAATATTTGATGATGTCTTATCCAAGGTCATTGTGTTAGACTGGGTTCTCTAGAGAAACACAAAAAACCAGAAAAGTGTATATATATATTTATAGAGAGAGAGAGAGAGAAATTTATCTTAGGGAAATGGCTTACAAGCGTATAGAAGCCGACAAGTCCAAGCCTCTGGAGGAGATGGGCTGGCGGCCACTTTAGCTTCTGTAAGCGCAGGGGGCTGAGAGATTCAAGGCTGGCAGGCAGTACACTGGTTGTTGACTCCAACAAAAGATGAATCCAAGATCTCCAGGCCGCGCGGTGGGCTGCTCACTCACGGAAGTATAGTCCGCACACCAGGGTTCCAATCCCTCAAAGAATGTGGCTCTTCCCAGGATGTCCCTGGATATCTTGGAAGCAGGCCACACCCCTAGGGAAACTCCCCTTGGGCAGACTGACCACTCAGAACACAGTCATCTGATCCCATCATGGGAACAACCACACAGAACTGGGGTCCAGCCAAGTTGACACACAGCTCCAACTATCACAGTCATCTAGCTATCACGTGGCAGAGATAGAATTTGAATGGAGGCATTCTGATGACCATGCCACCTCTAAAATAAATGATAGGGCTTGGTGTCATATGAGAAGGAGCTCTGGTGGTGTAGTGGTTATGGCATTTGACTGCTAACCAAAAGGTTGGGGGTTCAAAACCACCAGCTGGTCTGCAGAAGACAGATGAGGCCATCTGCTTTAGCAAAGATTTATAGCCTTGAAAGCCCAGTGGGGGTCACTATGAGCAGGAATCAAATCGATGGCAATGAGTTTAGTTTCTTTGATTTGGTGTCATATAAAGGAGTAAAATATGATTTCACAAGTTCTAACCTGGGAAATTAGATAAATGGTGACTGGGAAGAACAGTCTGTTTTTGAGGAAGACAATAAATTCTGTTTAGGATGATCCTCTCTGAGAGTTCTAGCAGAACATACTAGTGGAATTATCTAACAAACCGTTGGAAATAGGGACAGAAGTGGGGCTGAGAAGTCACAGAAGTGATAGGGAGCTACTTGGCATCTGATAATGCAAATGGCTGGTCTTTTGAAAACTGTCAGAGCCATGTGCTCATACCACCCCACACTGACTGCCTCTTCTTTCTCTATGCCGAGGCTTTCAAAAGAACTGAGAATCAGAAAGAAAAAACAAAGCATACTAGCACAAAAGATGTAACACACTTGGAATGTTCATCTTGGAGAAAGAGAGTATCACCCAGATTTACAGGCTGAGAATTTCATCCATTTAGTCACTCATGCAATAAATATACTTGAGTTCCTACATGGGCTGCCTGGTGTTAGGGAACGGAGTTGAGCAAAATAGACATATTCTCTGCATTCATGAAAACCAGGGACATTTTCTAACTGTACTTATCACAAGATTCTGTGAGCTAGGCAGGCTGGCAACTATGACTATCTGCATGTTTCTGATGAAGAATGAGTCTCAGAGAGATTAGGTAATTTGCCTGAAATTGCATAGCTGGTCAGTGGTGGAGCCAGGACTTCAACCCAGATCTTGCAACACCTGCATGGTATTATTGTAATATGAATTATTTCATTTATTCATTCAACAATCAAATAGGTATTGATCATCTTGTGTCAGACTACGCACGAAGCAGTTGGAAACCACTGAAGAGGGTTAAGAAGGAAAGTAGCACGATCCAATATAAGTTTTAAACAGAACTTTCTTCTGAGAGAGAGGACAGAAAGTAGCGGTTTCCAAAGCGTGGCCTGGAACCACCTACAAGAGCAGTCCCTGGAGCTGGGACTCAGGAATCTGAAAGTCAACCAGGCTTGGAGTCTTGTCGACCTTCTGAGTCTAATGTACTAAAGAGGGAGAAGCAAAGAATTAAAGCAGGAGGTAGTGGGACCAGTTAACATGGCAACAGTGATGACTGTACTAATCAGGTGAAAGGTGATCAGGTGCAGAGACAGGATGCACATGAGAGTCATTTAGGTGGGATGGACAGGACATCTCACCCCACCCTTCCATGGACACTAGCTGAAGTTCAGAAGTGAAGCTGAGATTCCTGTCTGGGTTCTCTAGCCCAGAGCCTGTGGGCTTTATTTACTGCACTTAGCCATATATAGCCACATCTTGATTTTAAAAGATTCTTAATTTCTCTTGGCACTTTTTCTGCAAATCTCTATCTTATCTCAAATTTGTGCAACTGCAGGCAAGCAGTGTATTTCTCTCTGTTTCTAAAAGACTAGGGGAGACGTAAGAGACAGCAAAGACATTGGAGCTTCTAAAACATTTCTTTATTTAGGGCTGGGTACACAGGCCCATTTGACTACACAAGTACAGACTGGAGAGACAGAACAGCAGGACCCTGAGGAGATGCACTGAACTTCCGCCTCCTATACCCTAGGAGGCCTCCAGGAAACCTGAAGACAATAATCCCAGAAGCCTGCAGGGCAACAGGAATTCTTCGCCAAGGTTATTATTGGGTGTCAGGCTGGCGCAGTTCAGGAATTCAGGAAATCTTAAAGAAACCACAGGAGCCTCAACAACCGCCTCCCTAAACATCAACAACCTCCACAATTAAACTCATTACAATTCATCCCCCTCCCACCCACAATCACAGACCCAAAGCTAAGAGGCAGTCTGCACTACTGGAGAGGCTCTTTGCTGACCTTTCCCTAATCTCGTTCATCTTCATCCCCGGACTGAGTTTCCCGGGATCTAGGGAGCCAGGACACTGATGCCCCCATCTCTGGATGGGGACATCAGAAGCTGAGGACACCTTAACTCTCTCCTCAGTCCAGGTGGGTCAGGATTATAGCCAACCAAGGCAAAGGCTACAGTTAGTGTGCTAGGGGAGGACCCGCCAGTTCGGATACCCGGACAGCTGTCAGAGACCGAGCCAAAAAGGTGGGAATGGACGGGTGAAGAAGGAAAAGGATGGAAAAGTGGGCCGGGAGCGGTTCTACAGAGGGTTTGGGGCCAGGGCGTGCGAAGCGCCTGTGGAAAGTGCCCTTGAGGTTGACCAATCAGAGAGCGGGCTGCAGCCTAGGGGCAGGGCGGGGGCGTATCTCGGCTGAGATTGGGTAACACTTGGGACGTGGTGGCGCGCCTGCGGGGTCGCCGCTTTGCAACTCCATGATATATACCTCTGTACTTGCAGCGGTGCACACCTGCTGGGTTGCAGCACACGGGCCTGCCTCGCACACTCTCCTCCGCAAGCGCCGGGTTCCTCACGTCCTGGGTCAGTTCCATCCCGCCGGGAGTTTCTCTCTACTCGGGCCAGCTCCCCAAGCTCCAGCCCTCGACGTCTGCAGAACGAAATGGCCACAGCCATGAATGTCACCCAGCAAGTAAACCAGGTGTTCCATTCCTACAAATTCGAACAGATTGGGCCCGTTTTAAGGGTCTTTGTGGAGGAGTACTGGTGAGACTGGGGGAAGGGAAATCGCCATGCCAGGGATCCGGCCCAGCTGAGTGCTGTTGGGGAGTGGGTAGGGACAAGGATTTTCCTGAAAAACAAATGTATGGGGCTCCCCCGTACTGGCTCCACACTCTGCTGTTGAAGGTGCAGGTAGTGTAGCACCTCAAAGCGTTGAGAGCTGAAAGACAGGTCAGAAGGCAGAAATAAGAGGATGGGAGAGAAATAGGAGAGGAGACAGAAACCAAGGAGAAAGTCTTAGTGAGACCTGGTGGCTGAGGAGTAAGGTTGATCTAAATCCTCACACCCACCTTAGAAATGACTGTTCTCGATCATGGTAATGGTTAGACAATATGATGAATGTAATTAATGTCATTGAATTGTGCACATGAAAAATGTTGAAAAGGTGTTTTGTTACATATGTATTTATTTTAAAAAATATATTAAATAATAATAGATAGAGGGAGTGAATGAGCTAAGATTTGAAGACAGGGAGTTTGGCTCCAAGTCTGTTCATTCTGCCCTAGAAGGGCATCCCTGTCCCTCTGTGATACTTTCATGGGCCACCCAGCACCACACCCCATCCCTTTGTCCTTCAACTTCCTCAAGTACATGTTATCTGCACCTCTTACAACTTCTTAATTACACAATGCCTGAATTAGTAAAAAAAAGAAAAAAGAAAAAAGAAAAGAAATGACTGTTCTCCACCCTTTGTGGCTGTGTGTGTATGTGTGTAGTGCTAGTGCCTAGGGACTGCCTACCCTTCACAGTCACCACGTTGTTCCCCACATGCTCCATTGTCCCCGCTGTGGAGAAGGAGGTAAAGTTAAGGAGATCTTCGTTTTCCCCAGGCTGACTTTGCCCTAATGTTCCTCAAAGGTGTCTGTGGACTGGTTTTGTGCTCTGGTCAATCTGCCATGGTCCAACCAGGCAGAAGCAATTGCCATATACATCTTACACTGCAGCCTTGAGTTGTTTCTAGGCATGGCTTAGATAACCATTGCCCCACTTCCAAGCCCAGCAATAGAGCAGAAATTATAATAATAATAATAAACTTGGACATAACCCCTGCCCTGTGCCAGATACTTTATATGCATTAACTCTGTTAGGAGAGGCATGTTATTCCCCTCTTACACAGTAAAAGTGGCAGACCTGGGCTCCAACCTAGAGCACTCACCTGGAGAGATGAGTGAGCATGCCCCTGGCCAGCACTCACCCATGAGGGCATCCTCTCTGACTTCTGCCTTCCAGGGCAACCTCGTTCTCCATAGCTCTCATCTACCTGCTGCTCATTTTTGTGGGGCAGAACTACATGAAGACACGAAAGGGCTTCAACCTGCAGAAGCCTCTTGTCCTCTGGTCCTTTAGCCTTGCCATCTTCAGGTAAGACACCTCTCTAATCCCCAACATACCTCTGGACCCTCAATCCCCATTCTCTCCCCCTGCCCTCATTCCAGAAACCTCAACTGGAGGTTAATCACCATTCTGCCCCCCACGTTGCCTCCTGACATTCTTCCATCCTCTCAGCTCAGCTCCCTTCCTCAGCATCCACTTTCTTCATATATTATCCTGTTTCCCTTTTGCCCCAGGCCCCAAACTGGCTATCTCTGCTCCATCCCTTTTGGCTTCCTAAGGTCTTGTACTTCCACCAAATCTCTTCAGCCTCTAATACTCCCGGCTACAAACACCCTCTCCCAAGACCTTCCAGTAGCTTCTCAAGCCTCTCCTTCCCATATTTCCTCCCCTAAACACATTCAATCTTCCCCATTCTGCCACCCACCACCTTCTGGGTTCCTATCCCATCCCAAGTACCACATTCCCTAACCCAGTCTTCAGTCCCATGCCCCAGAATTCCTTGGCCTTTCTGTAGCCCTCGTCTCCTCTATACTACTAGTTGGAGCTATCAGTTGGTCCCAGGATCTCAGAAGCTGTGAGCATCCTCCCACAAGGCACCATCACCCCTCAAAGGGAGGGAGCTGGTGGAGTTTAGAACTTAAATACCTGGCCAGCTAGGGGGCAGGGGTGGTTTGGTGCCTGGAGATGACTCTTACACCCTCTCTCTTTGTCTGATTTTAGTATCCTGGGGACAGTGAGGACGTGGGCCTTTATGGGGACCGTGCTACACAGAATAGGCCTAAAACACTCTGTGTGCTTTGGCTTCTTCATCAGCAATACCACAGTCAAATTCTGGTCCACCCTATTTGTTTTGAGCAAGGTCATTGAACTTGGTGAGTGTCAAGGCCTCATTCCTCTAGTGCCCAGGAAGAGGCATCCTTCTCAGAGTCCTCCTTTCACCAGTCACATGGGGAGCTCCTTCCCCACCCGAGTCCTAACAGCTCTTAGCCAAGCCCTTCTTCAGACTCTCTGCCACACATCCCCTCCCCCCTCCTTGAGAGTTCTCCCTGTATTCCCACACTGGGTGTAGGGGTGTATGTGGCTCCAACACTGGGTGTGTGTGCCAATTTTGACTTCCTACCTCTTAGGAGACACAGCCTTCATCATCCTGCGTAAGCGGCCGCTCATCTTTGTGCACTGGTACCACCACAGCACAGTGCTAGTGTTCACAAGCTTTGGGTTCAAGAGAAGCATGGTTTCTGGTGGCTGGTTCATGACCATGAACTTTGGCGTGCATGCCATCTTGTACACCTACTACACTCTAAAGGCTGCCAGAATGAATCCTCCCAAGATGATTTCCATGCTTGTCACCAGCCTACAGATCCTGCAGATGTTTGTAGGAGCCATCATTGGCGTCCTGACTTACACCTGGAGACATGAACAGGGATGTGACACCACCACAGTGGAACAGTTCTTCTGGTCCTCCATGTTATATTTAACTTATTTCATCCTCTTTGTCCATGTCTTCTGCCAATCCTACATCATACCAAAGGTCAAAAACAAGACCAAGAGCCAGTGAAGAATTGGAGAAAAAGTGAGAGACTCAGGCTCTCTCCTCCCCAGGGCACAGAGGGGGTGAACTTAGGTTTTGGGAGAATTATTAGGGTGCCTTACCTTCGTTAGTTCCCCCATGGGATGTGTGTCCCAAGGTGGCAAGAAGTTATGACAGACAGGAGGTATCATCCTTGGGATGGGGATATGGTGTACTGTGTTGATGCTTCTTTTTTTACTATGAAAGCCAAGCAGGCCCTGGGATGGTATAAGACTGTGGAGTATCCCCAAAGGTGATTTATTTATATTTCTATGCAGAAATCTTTCTACTTCTTGCTTTTTTTTTTTTTTTTTTTTGATTAAAGATTTCAACGAGATGAGTAGTCCTTTTGGGATTTGGTGGAAGGGTGGAAGAAGAGTGCTGCTGTGTTTGGGGTACCTGACAGTGGGGGGAGGTGGACAGCCTATGAGAGTGGAAGGATGAGAAGTACACACACAGACACTCAATAAGAATTCTTTGCCTGGTAGGCACTTAATAACTGTCTGTTATAAACTAGAATTTTATTGCTATTAGAGGCCCAAACCCCCCCAAGTAAAAAACAGGTGCAGAAATATGAAGTGACGTATTTAAGATCACAAGCATCCTAAGTTGCAGAATTTAGGATCATTTCGCTATTCCACGCTAGGGAGGGTCTGCCCCCCTCACATGTTGTATGTTGTTTACACCCGGAAATAAGCAGTAGAGTCCAGATCTACGAGTTATCCTCCCTGAGACCACTAAGTGGCGCCGCAGCACCAGCATTGGCCAATACTAGCTGAGAAGAGGCTGTAGAGAGACGCGCGCGTAAACACACACACTCACAAAAACGCACACACACCACTCCCCACACCCAAAAGGCGTATCAGCGGGAAATAGTGCCTATGAGAATTAGTTTTAAGTTGCTGAATGGTATCTCTCGCAGCTGGCGATGGAAACTGCAATGGCGAATAGAAACTGCTCATTGGCGTCTCCCCTGCCCACCCCAGTGCCGTACCTGCTATGTATACTCCAGATACCCCGCTGAGACAACACGTTTTCCCGGGAAACACACATGCATCTTTTTCTTCAAGAAACACCCACAAACACACACACAGCCTTTTCTCCAGGAAACATACACAACAAAACCCATTGCTATGGAGTCGATTTTGACTCATAGCGACCCTATAGAAAGCGTAGAATTTCCAAGCCTGCAATCTTTACAGAAGCAGAATGACACATCTTTCTCCCGCTGATCGGTTTGAATTGCCCAGCCTTCCATTCTCAGCTGAGCGCTTGCTTTAACTACTGTGCCCCCAGGACTCCTTAGAAACACAAGCACACACCCTTTTTTCCAGGAATCCTCTGGGTCTTCCCATCTTGGGGGTGGTTGAACGGGCTAAAGCCCACGAGGAGCCTGAACCGTCACCTCGCTCCTGTTCAGCCCAGCCTTCCTTTAAAAAATGGGGCTCGTGTTTGGAGAGGGCTCAACCGCAACTCTCAGTCATCAAGCTTTTCAAGTCCGCGAATGTTTATTTGATTTATCTTTGAAAATGGAAGAAAGGGAGTCTGGAGAAGGCGGGATAGGCCAAGGGTGAGTTGGCCCCTTGGGTCCCTGTTCCTGGCCTTAGTCCCAAGGGCGTGGTCTGTGTGTGGGGGGCCCAATCCCACCTCAGGGAGGGAGGCCCCCTCCTGAGCCGGCCGCCCCCCACCAGCCTAAGCATTCCTCTCAGACTCTGGGGCGGGGGAAGCCAGTCGAGATGACCCCAGTCTCGGCAGGCTGTGAACCATCGCCTCCGCCGCCGGGGGTGATCCACAAGCCGGGCCGCTCATACGGGCCGTTCCACTGCATACTGGCAAGGACTGAGGTTGGCGGCCGGGGGCGGCCCGGGCACCGCGGGGTAGCTGAAAGAGGCGTGCTGTTTAGCCTTGAGCCGCAGGCTGGCCAGGCTCGAGTTACAAGGGTCCCGATATACGTAGGGAGAGGAAGCAGCTGCTGCTGCGGCCGCAGCGGCCGAGGCGTAAGGGCAGGACACTGCCCCAGAGGACACGGCGGCCGGAGCTAGCCCGGGGGGTGCGCCGCCCAGGCCCTGCAAGGCCCCGGGCCCCGGCACGGTGCCCGGGGCGGCCGCAGCCGAGGGCACCATGGAGGCGGCGATAGAGCTGGGCGGCGAGAAGACGGGCTGCGAGGCCAGAGGCCCCACGTTGACCGAGTTGAAGGCGAACGGGAAGGTTTTGGCGGCGAGCGGCGGGGCGAGCGCCTTGGGCGGCCAGTTGCCGTACGAGTAGCCGGAGTAGACCTCCTCATAGGGCGGCACCAGACCCCCGAGCGGCGCGGTGAAGCCGCCCTTGCACAGCTCCGCCTGTTGGCTGCGCTCGCGCTTGCGCCACTTGGCGCGCCGGTTCTTGAACCACACCTGCGGGCGCAGAAGAAAGGCCGTCAGGGCCAGTGGAGCGGCGTCGGCTGACCGAGTCAAAGTGGCTGGGGCGCGGACACGCAGGCGGGGATTGGGGCCCGGGCCGGGGGCTGGGCAGAGGACAGACAAGATGAGCTGGCTGGAGACCGTGCTGGGGGTCGCGGACCAGCCAGTGGGAATGGGAGGGGAGGAAGGAAGCTGGACTGAGGCAGGGGCAACAGGGTTGGAAGAGGGGCAAGAAATAGGATGGGGGTCAAGGAGGGGTGAAGCGGAAAAGAGACAGCGACAGAGACGAAGAAAGCGCCGCCTGGAGGGAGGCTGGGGTAAGAGCAGAACCTGAGGGTTAATGAGAAGTTGACGTGGGGCAGCTGTGGGGGGCGTGGGCAGTGGTTGTTGGATGAGAGCACGCCGCAGGCGGGGCAGAACCACGGCCTGAGAGCTCCAAAGCTGGCCAATCAGGGGCCGCGCGAGGGAGACCAGGGTGGGGTCAGGGTCCGCCGTACCCGCACGCGGGCCTCAGTGAGGTTGGTCCACACGGCGATCTCCTCGCGCGTGCTCATGTCTGGGTAGCGGTTTCTTTGAAAGGTCGCCTCCAGCTCCTGCAACTGCTGGCTGGTGAAGTGCGTGCGCTGCCGCCTCTGCTTCTTCTTCAATGAGCCGTCCTCGGGGGAGCCGCCCGGCAGCGAAGCCGAGGCCCTTTCCGAATCTGGGGGCGGGGATTGGGGGCCGGTCACAGAGAGTCAGGCCTTGCCGGCACGCCCCCCCCCCCGGCTTAGTTAGTGACCTCCTCACTCCCACCCCTGGCTTCCACCCGGAGGTCCCATCCCCATTAGGGATTGAGTTGCTATCTCCTCCACTCCCAGAAGGGGGCTCGCTCACCACTGTGCTCCTGGCCTTTGCAGCTGTGCTCTGGGAGCGGGGGATGCGGAGTGCCCGCGTCTGAAAGCGACAGAGCAGGGCTCCGGGCCTCCGCCTCGCTGAGCAGGCCGAACTCCATGGAGGGAGGAATCTGTAGGGAAGAGAAAACACAGACCACATTGCTGGGGGGTGAAATTTCAGAGGTATCCGGTTCCCAGAAGTGTTTCCCCCTAAATTCTCTGCCCCCTTTCTCAGCCCCTGACCTGAAGCTGTATGGGTTGCCCTAGCATAGAATGGAGAAATAGCAGCTTAAGAGGAACAGGGCTTATATTCAGAGCTTTTATGCACATATATACACACCAGACTTTATTCACTGCTGGGTGCCTAGAACTGTGCCTGGTACACAGTTGATGTTCAAGAAATATTTATTGAATTAATGAAAACGTATATTAATGTACATCATATATAGCACCCTCACGTCTTAAAAAATTTCACAGTAGCCCCATATGCTCAACACACCCCTCAGCTCTGTTATTCATTCACCTTGGGACAGATCAGATTTTCAACTAGGCCTAAGATTTTCTCCTATGAAAATAATCATGGCTATCAGTTATGAATACTCATGTGCCTTAGCTTCATTATCTCCCACCCTCACAAGAATGCAGCGAGGTTAAGTATTAGCACCCTTTTCCAGGTGAGGAACCTGAGACTTGAAGAAACTTAAGATCACAGAGCTTGTAAGTAGTGGAACTGGGATCTGAATCAGGTCTGTGGCTGAACCAGGAGATAATGTTTTTTTCTTGGTTTGCTTTTCAAATTCTGTTTGAATTACTATCCAGAAAGCCCCTCAGGTGCCTGGCTAGAACTGTAGCCTGTCCTTGCTTAGGCCTGCTTCAACTAGGGCACCTCTGCTTTTGTCTGCTCTGCTTATGCTTTCTGGAGAGATTTCATTTTGATTTCTCTTCAGAAAGAGTTCTGAGATCAAAACAACGTCGAAAAGCTCTGGGCTCTCGGGCCCTGTCTGCACCTCTGCCTGCCCAGGCACATGTGGCATCCCACCAGTCAAGGCTCTACTCTCATGCACAGCCCATCCCCTGCAGTAGGTGTGGGCTTCTTAAAACCACCACCCTACCCATCTTCCCCGTCCCAAATCTAGCCTGACAGAGCCTAAAAGCCTTCTCCAAGTCTCTGCTGCAGACTCCTTTACTGCTGGCTCTCCTGGGACCCCTCTGGTAGAAGGGGAAAGGGCACTAATGGGGACTCAGGATGCTTCTTGGTCAGAGAACTGAAGGAGGGAGGCCAGGGCCAGAGGGCGAGGGTGCAGAGCTGGGTGGGAGGGGTCCGTCTGTCCCCACTATCCCCTCCCCTTTAGCTGGGGCTTAATTCAGGCTGCGCGAGGTGGCATTAATATGTCGGATTAGCCTAGATTGAGATGTGTGTCACTTGGCTGCTCTGAATTTATTAGGAGCCTTTCTCAGGGAGGCGCAGATGGGCAATGGCCTGTATTTGCACATGGTAATGCCCCCTTCAGCCAGCTCAGAGCTCACAGCTGCCCTCCCCCTCCCACCTCTCAGGCCAGGTTGGGGGTGGGACAGAGGTCGAAACTGGAGGTTGAGAAACAGCCTTTGCTTTTTCCACAGGCAGAGGAGACTAGACTTTGGACCTTTTCTTGGGGTTGGAGGGGCAGGGCTGGAGAGAAACAGGGAAGGAAGGGGAGAAGTCAGGCTACGGGTGGGGGTGTGCTCAGCTTACCTCCCTTTCCAGGTCTGAGGTCAGGAGCCAGAGGCTTGGGACTGGAAAACTCTGGCCCGACGATGCTCTGAGGCTCCAGTGGCAGGGAGATGCCTTTGGGAGGGACCTGTTGCAGCCTTGATTAGCAACTCTTCCCAAATCAGCTGGGAAGGTGAGGGAAGAAGGCTTAGAACTGAGAGCTGGAAAAAGTAGTGCTCTGAAGCCTCCCCTGACTTCATATCCAAGATGTCCTCAAAATGCAAACCATGCCCCTGACTTCTCCGGAGGTCACTGGAGCACCCAGCAACCTGGAGCTCGGAAAAGAGGAACAGTTGGTTTGCCTGTGGGGGAAAAAGTTAAATCCCACCACTGCCACTCCTCCTTCCATTCTGTGGCTCCAGACTTCCAATTTTCCAAACTCCCTTTCCCCCAGCATTCCATACCTGGGTCTTGGTTTCACCCTCTGTTTCAGCAGAAGGAGACAGGGTGAGGAGGGATAAGGGGTAGAGTAAAAGAGGAAGCTCAGAAAGCAGAGCTCAAGCTGTGTGTTCCTAGAGACAGACAGACACACATGCAGACACACATGGGCCCCCACTCAGACATAATAAGAACTTGGACTTGGCGCTAGAGGCACACAAACACACACTCTCCCACACATGTGCTCCCATATTCAGGCAGACAGACACACACCGTCACATAGTCTCCTCTCTCTGTGACAGGGACAGCTGCCTGGGCTGTTTTGGAGCTAGCCATCCCCCTCCCCCTCCCCTTCTTGGCCCTTCTGAACCTAGCTCTCAGCCCCAGGAAGTGAGGGACTCTGTGTGGGGGAGGAGGAGCCCAAGGGGGGCCAGGGGAGTGGTCTACACTCAGTGGCTGCTGGAGAGAGCCTGCTTCTGGAGTGGAGAGAAGGCATGAGAATGCTGGAGCAAAAGGATGGGGTGAGGAGGGAAGATGGACAGTGTCCAGCCCCACTTGGGAAAGTAATCTGGTAAAGCCCAAAGAAATTAGGTTTGGAGTCAAAAGACCTGGGTTCATGTCCTTGTTCCCCAACTTAGTAGCTGTGTGACCTTGGCAAGTTACTTTACCTCTCTGGGCATATTCTTCATCTCTACCTACCTTCAGTATTGTTATAAGGTTTAAATAAAACATAACCAAAGAAACAAACTCATTGGCATTGAGTTGATTCCAACTCAGAGCAACCTCCATTGGGTTCCCAAGGCTGTAAATCTTTACGGAAGCAGACCGCCCTATCTTTCTTCTGCAGAGTGTCTGGTGGGTTCAAATCACTGACCTTTCAGTTAGCATCCAAATGCCCTAACCATTACACCATGAGAGCTCCTTAAATAAAACATAACACTTAGTAAATAGGGTAAAACTCTACCTGAGAAAAAAAAAACTATAATTATTAATGAAACACATGTTTATTTAGTACCTTCTATCCACTGGACATTGAGTTAGGTGCTAAGGATAGAGTGGTGAATAATATTGAATCCTCACCTCTGTCTTTGCTTGAGTGGTTCACCTCTCCATCTTCCTCCGAGGCCCTATATCTCCCAGTGAAAAATTTCTCTGGTGAATAGAGGTGAGTATTTTCAGAAGGAGTTCCTGGGTGGCATAAACAGTTAAGGGCTCGACAGCTAGAAAGAAGGTTGGTGGTTCAAATCTACCCTGAGGCACCTTGGAAGATAGGCTTGAGGATCTGCTGCCGAATGGTCATACCCCTGAAAACCCCAGGAAGCGGCTTTATTCTGCACACGTGGGGTTTCTGTGAGTCAGAATCAACTCAACGGCAACTAACAACGATGCATTTTAGACAGGGACAAAACGTGTGTTGTAAACTATCTTGAACACTAAAGAGGATCCAATTAATGAGGAAACAGCAAAATGGGCAGATTAAGCCAAGCTGAGAACCACTTGGGGACCAGGAACTGGTGAAGGAAAGAATGAAGCCTTTGGGTTCTTGAATGGGGTAGTAATAGCAGGGAGAGGGGACAAGGCTGTGAAGAGACTGAAAAGAGAAAGCGAAGAAGGCTGTAGCCAGGCAGGCAATAGAGAGATGTAAGGGCTGGGGGCATAGGCCTCTAGCAGACTCATGTCCGGGTAGGCTGGTTAGGCAAAGGCTGGGGGACGCCAAGCTGTTGTCTGAGCTGGAGACAGGCTGGCTGAGGATTAAGCTCCCCCAAACTGCTGGAGGTCAGGAAGCTAGGAGTTGGGACTGAGGCCAGGGACTTCGCCTCTCTCTCTTGGTGGATGGGGACAGCAGTAGGTCTGGATGCTGCAGGATTGGCTGATGCCGGTAGGAAATACTAGGAAGGGCCAAAGAAGAGTCAAGAGATAACAAGGATGATGAATCTAGCTCTGGGAGAGTGTTGTCTGCCCTACCCCTGACCTTTCTGACACACCCTGCTGGGGAAGGATGGCCCACACCCCACTGGTGTGTCAGGGTGGCAATCTCCCCTGGGGAGAATAGAGAGACTGTAGGTGGGCTCTGGAATTATGTGACGCCTGTCATAGGCTACAGCCAGAACAAAACATCCAGGATCTGTTAAGGTGGAGACCAGAGTTTATCACAAGCCACAGAGGCCACAATGAGGACACTCTGGTTTCCAAGGGGACATGAGCTCATAGCAAGAAGATGACTGCCATGAGGGGTTACTTTCATCTTGAAGCCAGAGGGATAAACCAGGGCCACAGCTAGAGAGCCCTCAAGTGGTTACAATAGTAATGCCCAAAGCAGAGGCCACAACCTGGAAATTAAATGGTGGAACAAAATCTCTCTCTTGTAGGGGTGGAATGAAGAGGAAGAGAGGAGGGGCTGGAGTTGTGATGCTGAAGCTTAACTAAGCAAGCAGCAAGTTGGGGAACAGGTGTAAACCAGGGCTCTAAGGTAGTATGATACCATCCTATAAACCTGAAACTGAAGTGTGGTCCTTAAGTGTGCATCCCCTCATATTCATCAGGGAGGCTGAGCACCCAAACTGTCAGGTTGGCTGAACTGCACTGCACCAATGGAAATAAATGAAGATGGCTGTGGACAGGGCTCACGGCCCCAAGATGAAACCCCAAGACTCAGGTGGAGGCAGCAGTGATTTGATGCACTTAAGTTTGCAAAGAGTAAATCAGGGACCCCACACCCTTCCCCTTCTTCCTTCTTTCCTTCAGTAAGTACTACGTGCTAAGAAGGGTCCCCAGGACTGGTAAGGCACAGACTCTAATTTCTAGGAGCCTACAGTCTAGGAGGCAAACAGAGCACAGGATGAAATGATGGGCTGCATGGGCCTGAGACTTTGTGGAAGATCAGAGATGGAAGCCCATGTATGGTAGCATCAAGTCTTGGAGGCTCAGAGAATGTAGACAAGTGGTGGAGCTTGGAGGTGGGGAGACAGAGAAGGAGGAGGACCTTCTCAATAATAGAGAAGTATTGTATTGGGAATGGGGAGCTCTGGTGGTGTAGTGCCTAAGACATTTGACTGCTATTCAGAAGGCTGGTGGTTCAAACCCACCAGCCACTTCTCAGAAGGAAGATTGGGCAATCTACTTCCATAGTGCTACTGCCTCAGAAACCCAAGGATGGGTCACTATGAGTCAGATCCAACTCCATGGCAGTAAGTTTGGTGTTTTGTTTTCGGTATTGGGAATGATCTGGCAGGGTTAGAAGGCAATAGGAGCCTAGCTTGACCAGAGTATCAGTGTGGCAATGGGAGATCAGGAAAAAAAAAAAAAAAAAACGGATTAGGCTGAGAGGGATTCTGATTTGATAGTCTAAGCTAAAATGTCTCCAGTTTTTCCATCAAAACAAAACAAAACAAAATTAAAAACAAAAACAGAAACAAAAAACCCTAAGGCCAGTAAGAGAGAACATTCACCCTGGGAGATTAGGAGCACAACCTGAAACAGCTGCCACCAGTATGAAATTTCTATGAGGTTTCCAGCCTTATGTTACCAATTCAAGCAGATTTTGCATTCTATTTAATACTTTAGTCATGTTTATGTTACTATAACAATAAAGCCCCCTGCCATCTCCAAGTGACATCAACATACCAGGAAGGTGGGCCATGTTCAGCCAGTAGTATCATGTCCCTCCTACTCTATGCCCTTGTCCCACTCCACCCTCCACTGAGAAGCATTGCTCCAAGCAGTGGGAGTCACGGGAGGCTTTTCACTCAAGGGAGTGACATAAAAGTGGCATCTTTGGTAACTTTACTTGGCAATAGTGAGCAGAATGGATTGGACAGGGAAAATTTTAAATAACAGGTGTAAAGACAAGACCTTGGGGTAGGACAACAATGGAAAAGGAGAAGTGGAAAGAGCTTCCAAAGCCATTTCTCCCTATCTTTCCATCTCTCTCTCTCTGTCTGTCTCTCTCTCTCTCTTTCTCTCCGCCCACTGCCTCATCTTTTCCTTTTTTTTCCTCATCTCTCTTATCATGAGTCCCTATAGATGCCCATGGGCTGAACATGAGACACCATCAAAGCTCAGGAACTTCTGAATCCTTAAGGGTAGCTGCCGCTTCACTCTGGGAGGCATCATTTAGAGTAAAGGAAGAAGCAAAGATTTAGGTGGCCCCCATCCTTCTCTCCTGCCCACCCCTCCACTCAGCTCCAGCCTTCTGCCCCTGCCGTCCCTGGACTGGGCCTGGGTCCTGGGCTCATATTCACATCCGTGAGCCTGGAGCAGACAGGATCAGGTCAGGATGTTTAGCCTGGTAGAGGGGTGGAGCATTTGGGGGAGCTTCTCAGTGCTCTTTCCAGAGGGGGATAAGGCTGGCATCAGAAGCCTGCGAGAGGGTGTCCCATCTGTCTTTAAGAACTTTCCTCTGGCTGGATCTGGGATGTGATCTGGCTACTTTTAGGCTTGAGACTCCACCCTTCCAAAACAAAGGCTCTGGAGGTACAGGGGTCTTCCAGGTTGGTCATACTAATAGCAATAATGCTTCTTATTCTTACTGTGATGCTCTCTTCTTTGCAAAGGGCTTTCATACACAGTAAAGCCTGTGAAAGCCAGAGCCGACATAAGGCAGAGACCTGTCGGAGAAGGGAAACTCAAATATTTTCCACTGAAAGGAGCAATAGAAAGGTGGTAAGACTGCACCTTGTCAAACGCAGAAAAGTTGTGAGATACGGAGAAGCAAGCCAGGCCGTCTCGTTCCTGCTCTCACAGGTTTAATTTCGCTGTCACAACCACCCTGGAGGACAGCGACGGTCATCCTATTTCAACTCTAAGGAGACAAGGATTTGCCCATGGTTGAACAGATAATCGAACCTGGTTCTTCTAAGACCAGAGACCACATAGACTCTGTCCACTCTCTGCCCCCTCCACCCCGGCAGCCATTTGTGGCCCTGACAGGCACTGATCCTCCCAAGCTCTGAAGGATTCCATTTCGACCTTCTGCCTCTACCACCTCTCTGGAAATGAACTCTGGAAGTTTGCTGCCCACAGCATGCCAAAGAATATTTTCCTATTCATCCTGAAGTTGTATCACTCCGGTTCTAGGAGGCCCCCTCATTTCCAGTTTTGGGATTTGGGGAGCAAACAAGTCTTTTGCTTGTCTAGGCCTTTCCTAATTTTGTGGATTTCCATCCTGTCTCACCTTCCACAGGCTTAAGCTTTGATCCAACAGTCCCTGGCTCCCCATTCTGCCAGCCATTCTCTGGCCCTTCTCTAGGTCCATGACAGTCACTTTAAGGACCAGTGACCAATCATGCACTCAGCTATGTGCTTTATGTATGTAAGTGGGGAAGGTTTCTCTCTTTTGTTTCCAGTCAGCTTTGTTATGATGCCATTGCTTTTTGGCCTTTTAGGCAAAAACAGAACCTTGGATGTAGGAGATCAGAGAACCAGCTGTAACACTTTCCTTATTCTGACTCAGAACCCCTCATTTTACCCATCGTTTCAGTGATTTTCAAAGGCAATGACAGCATAAGCCTCTGAAAGGAGCATCAGTCTGTACAGTGTGATTCAAAAGGGGACAAGGGGTAAAAAATTAAATAAATAAATAAGAAACAATGTCCTAGATGGTGATAAGTGCACTTAAACACTGAGGGAAGGAGGGGTGTGTGTGTGAATGTGTGTGTGTGTATGGTGTATGTGTTGTATGTTACTCATGGGTGGAGAATGAAAAAGGTTGAAACCCTCTTGTTTAGATGACTCATTGCTAAACACATCACCTTGCACTTGCCTCCATAAAAACTCATTCTCCAGCTTGGTGGTTTTGCTTGTTCACATAGGCTCTGGAGGGCTCTTTCTACTGTCTGCTTCAGCTGGGGTCAGGGTGAATGGTCATTGTATGGATCCAGGGGAGTCCGGGCCCTCCTTCAGTCACAGGGAAGACAAGGGGGCGAGTAGGGCTGAGATATCCTTCCCAACCAGACGTGGAGGGTCATATAGGTCCCATGTGAGACCTCAGATCCTGAATTCTGTCTCCATCCCTTCTCTTCTAAGCCACCAGGGTGGGGTTGGGGATGGTGGAGTCAAGAAAGCAAAAAGGGAAACAGGACTACAGGGTTTGCCGCAAAGGGGATAGAGGCTACAGCTTCCTCTTTATGCATGGGCTTCTGGCTCCAGCAGCCAAGAAGCCTTTAGTCAGCTGAGCTGGGATCCAGGCAGAGGTGTCTGCAGGGTGCCTGGTGACCTGCACTAGAACTGGAGGCTGACTTTGAGTTTGTGCGGAAGCTGAGGCTGTCAGGGGATGTGCTTGGCTCCTCTCTACCCTCCCATAGCCATTCAGTCCTTCCTTGCCTGTCCTTGATTCCCATTAGCAGTTCCATTGTGGCCTTTGCACCTCAGATTTCAATTTGGGAAGTTGGGGGTGATGCTCTGGTCTAGTGTGGGTTGATAAGAGGCCGTCTCCCATTGCCACCCCACCCCAAGGCCAAGCTGCAACCTTTATTCTCACTCCCTGCTGCTCCCCCCACCCCCCTCCCCAGACCCTGGAGAGCAGAAACAAGTTTTCAAAGTGTAAGCTGGGGTTCCAGGCCACCCGCTGCAGCCCACTCCACCACACACGCAGCAGCTGGACAGGCGCTGCTGGGTAGACGGACATGCCACCGGCCAGGGACATTCTGTCTGGCTGCCGGCCACAGCGCCTGCTTGGGCGAGACCCACCTAGTCTCTCCGGACATTCTGTACGCTCGGAGCCCCGCGCGCTGTACACATTCCGTCTGATTACCAAGCCGCCCCAGGCGGGGACCCATCCAGGCCCCGACACCCTAAGTCGGACACGCCAGACCCGCCGGCCGGTCACTCAGGCCGCCTAGCTTCGGCCTTGCTGCCCGGACAGCAGCCATCTGACATGGTTCATGGCCGAGTCTCCCAGCGCGGCTCACACCCCAACTGCCGACCAGCGGAGAAGAGAAGCGTGTGCGCACCCCTGCTCCCAAATCCCAGCTCCTGGGGTCTGAGTCAAGGCCGAAGCGCGACTGGCGCCGCCAACTGTCCCCATGCTGGCCGGCCGCGACCCAGCTCCCCACGCTGCCCAGGGCCTCGGCGACTCCTTCCGCTGCCCAGCCGCCTGCCCCGCGCCCCGGGATTCCGTGAAGCTTTCTTGTGTTGGTTTCCAACTCCCCACTCTATGCCCCGAGGAGCCCCTGCCCTGCCTTCCTGGCTTGGGCTTCCCTCAAGGTCCCCCGAGTCGCCCCTTCCTGAACTCGGGGTCCTGACCCCGAGTTTCCCTCTTCCCAAGTCCTAGCTCCGGTTCTGTAGTTCGCCCTGGCAGCCTGGCCTCGTTCTCCGGGCACTGAAGTCCAGCTGCCCCAGATCGCGTTTCAGGGATCCCCAGGTCCGACCCTTGGCCCTCGGCCCTGGGAGCCCCCACGCCCCGCATGGTCGAGCACTCACAGTGCGTCCCGCAGCAGACAAGACTCCCGGCAGCAGCGGCGGTGACGGCGGTCTGGAGGGCAGGCAGGGGCCAGGGGCCGGGCACCGGGCCGGGGTTGGGGCCGCCCCCCTGTGCCCGGGCCGCCGCTCGGGTCTAGCGCTGCCTGACTCACGGAGGGAGAGTGTGAGCCTCACCGCGGACTGCCACCCCCGGTCGGCGCCCATTCACTTTATGGCAGCCCAGGGCGCCCCCAGCCCGCAGCGGGGAGCTCGCGGGTCGGGCCCCGCCCCCTTCCAGCTGCATTCCCCGGACTCCGCCCCTTCCAGCTGTGAATCTTCAGACCCCGCCTCCGGGGGAGGGGTCCAGCCGGCGGGCTGCCAAGAACCCCGCCCCCTGGCCAATCGGAGGCACTCCTCAGCAACTGGGCCACGCCCCTCCCCACGTGGCCGGGACCAGGCATCAGCAAGGACCTTTTGGCCAAGCCGAGCCGGCGGGAGTAGAGCGCTCGGGATGCCCATCCGAGTCGGGGCTGGAGGGCGTCTACGTGGGGCCGGGCTGTCACCTCGAGCGAATGGGAGGTGCAGGGGGAAAGGGCTGCTGGGCAGGCGGCTGCGGCGCCAGGTGGGAGGGCGCACCGGCCAGCGGGGCCGCCGCGTCGCAGCGCTCAGACTTCGCCGCCACTCAGGTTTCCTTGATTTTCTCCACTTGTCGCTGTCCGTCTCTCCGCCCTTTTGTCTGCTCCAGTTCTCCCACCCTCGCCTTTCTTTCCTCTTCTTTCTCCTCTGCCGCTTAATTCCTGCTATTGGCCCCTCTCCTTTCTCCTTTGCAAGTAGCTCTGGTGGTGTAGTGGTTAAAACATTCAGCTGCTAACCAAAAGATTGGCAGTTCCGACCCACAGACTCTTGGAGGGAGAAAGATGTGGCAGTCTGCTTTCGTGAAGTCTTGGAAACCCTACGGGGCAGTTCTACTCAGCCCTAGAGGGTCGCCAAGCGTTGCAATCCTCTCTGTGGCAGTGGGGTTTTGTTTTGTTTTGTTTCCTCCTCTGCCACTTTAAGAGATTAATTTATTTCACTCACTGCACTTTTTCCACGCATCTTTTTCTCTTCCTCTTTTGTGCTCTTTCCTTCCTGCCCCCAACCCCTTCCAAGGAAGGTGGCTTCCTCAACAGAGAAAGAAAGAGTTTTGGAATGAGACAAACTAAAGGAGTGTTCCGACACTGCTACCAATCACACCATCATCGGCCAAGTAAATTAACTATCATTCCTCTCACCCCAAATAATTAAAGGAGGCTCCTGCTGGTCTCAGGGCTTGGAATGAGCACTCTTGAGAGGTGTGGACTGATGCCTCTCTGCTTTCATGGTTTGCCCAGGCTCTGCTCTTCCAGCCTCAACAGGGCTGGCTTCCAGGTGGCGGTACCCATTTTAGTCCTGTGAGCAAGATGTGGTAGCCTGAGTGGTTGTTGGTTAGGGATTGCAAGGGACAGGGCCGATGTCCCATGGAACGTATGGATTCAGGCTAGGTTGAACCACATGTCTAGCCTTTTGTTCCTGTGACCCTCCTTGTGCATATCCCCTACTACTTCATCCACCATATGGAAAGGATCAACTTATATATGTCCCTCACTAGACTGAGATTTGGATGGCAAAGACCATGTCCTCATAGTTCTCTCTCTAAGCATAATGTAGAAACCCAAGAAATAGGTCATGCTGAAATCTACGAGGGAGATGTTCTGCCTGGTAAGATGATGGTTGGTGAATAGAAAAGGCAAGAATAGTGTCATCTCTCTCCTACCTGTCACACTTCATAGTTTTAGTCAAGATACATTTCTGGAGGTATGTGGGAGCAGAAATGGGAGAGTAGGGAGTTTGGCCGACTTAGTAGAGGCTGTTCAGTTGGCTGTCCAAACCAAAACCAAACCCACTGCCATCAAGTTGATTTCTACTCAGTGACCCTGTAGGATAGAGTAGAACTGCCTCACAGGGTTTTCAAGGCTGTAAATCTTTACAGAAGACTGCCACATCTCTTCTCCCACACAGCAGCGGGTGGGTTCGAACTGCCAACCTTTGGTTAGCATTCAAGTGCTTTAACCACCGCACCACTAGGGCTCCTTTGGCAATCTAGTACCTCACAATCTGAGCAGGACCTGGAGACCAACTCTCAGTTTTCAGATGAAGAGGAAAATGGCTTAGAGGTACTATGGAAAGAGGTGCTAGGGTGGCTGTATCTTCTTTCCTTGACTCCTTTTGGGTGAAACAGGAAAGATCTTCTGCTGGACCCAGAGGCCCAATGTTCAGAGAGCTGTTGAGCGGTTCTTCAGGTCTGATGGGCTCTTTAAATGAGAACGTCCTAGCACATGGATGGATTGCCACAGTGGCTGCAACAAGGGTTCAAGCAGAGCAGTGATTGAGAAGATGGCCCAAAACTGGGCAATGTTTAGCTCTATTGTACATAGGGTTGCTAAAAGGCAAAACCAACTCAAAAGCACCTAACAACAGCAGCACATGGATGGTCCCTGGTTGCCTGGTCTTGAGACTAGGATTAGGTATGGAGGTTCCTTGAGTCTATGTCATCCACAGATGGGAGGAAGTGGGGAGATAATTTTTTTTTTTTCTTTACTGCTTCCCAGCAGCTTCTTCAGGTCTGCAGGGGCACCTAAGCTCTGTGAGCTCCATGCCAGCAGAGAAGCTGGGAATTCCACCATTCAGTCTCTAAGGAGAAAATTCCTCCTCCTGCCCTCTTCCCACACACTCTTGTTGTTGTTAGGTGCTTCGAGTCAGCTCTGACTCATAGCAACCCTGTGCACAACAGAATGAAACACTGCCGGGTCCTGTGCCAACCTCATAATCCTTGCTATACCTGAGTCTAGCATAGCAGCCACTGTGTCAGTTCATCTTGTCGAGGGCCTTCCCCTTTTTTGCTGATCCTCCACTTTACCAAACATGATATTGTTCTCCAGGGAATGGTCGCTTCTGACAAACGACCAAAGTAGGTGAGATGAAATCTGGCCATTCTCGCTTCCAAGGAGTATTCTGGTTGCACTTTTTCCAGAACAGATTGGTTAGTTCTGGCAGTTCTATGTACTTCTGAATATTGTAGCAACCTCTGTCATTTCTTGCAAGGAAAAGAGACTGGGGTATGCATCCACCCTCAGGCCTCTTAGTGTTTCTAAGCCAAATAGGATAGGTTTCAGTCTCCTGTCTGGTGACATGGACTAATCTGTATGAGTAGCTTTTTCTCATGTTGGTAAGGAGTGTTGAAGCCAGTATTGGTGGTTGGTTCAGTGGTAGAATTCTTGGCTTCCATGTGAGCGACCTGGATTTGATTTCTGGCCAATGTAGCTCATGCACAGCATCGCCTGTCTTGCCATGTCAGATTACCCAATAAGGTAAGCATAAGCTTACTTGTGCTTACTTACTAACCTGTAGTGAACAATTTCACATTTTCATCATATTAAAGATTCTACTTCTAGGTATGACTGGCATCTGTCTCTCTACAATCCCACAACACCTTCCTACAGAAAGAATCAAAGCCTCTTTCCAAATTTACAATCCCCAGCAGGGACAGAGTGCCCAGTGAACAATGTAAGCACAGGCTTACTTATTAATCTGTAGTGAGCAAGGTAAGCATAAACTTACTTGTGCTTATTTAATAATCTGTAGTGAACATATGAACAATTTCACATGGGTTTCACCACATCATGTAGTGAAACTGTTCACCACAGATTAGTAAGTAAGCCAAAGTAAGCCCATGCCTACCTTGCTTATTGGGTAACCTGCTCCTGTTCATCTGCCAATGGAGGCTTAATGTTGCTATGATGCTGACCAGCTCTCATGGCACTTCCAGAGTAAGATGGACTAGGGAAAAAAATGCTTGGTGATCTACTTCTGAAGATCAGCCATTGAAGACCCCGTGGTTCACAATGGTCAAATCCCAAACCTAACTTTGGGCTGGTGCCAGAGCAGGTAACCTTTCCTTCTGCTGTGTATGAGGTTGGTGTGAGTAGGGTCAACTCCAGGGCAGCTAACAACAGTGTCAAGGCTTGCTATTAGGGGACAGAGCCTGGAGGTCACAGCCTAATAGGGCTTAAGCATAGCAGGGAGAGAGGACTGTGAAAAAGCGAGCTGGAGTGAGGATCAGGACACTTGGGTTTATCCCTCTGCTCTGCTATTAACTTGCTATGTGAACGTGAGGCCACCTTTCCAGCCAAAGTCTCTTGCTCTGTAAAATGAAGCCACCTAAGTTAGACATCCCAGGTTTATGCCACCTCCCATTTTCTCCATTTCTCGATGATAGGAATGGGACAGAACACGCAGAAACTGTTGGGCTGCGGGCCGACACACCAGTGAAAATCCAAACCGGGCAAGCGGAAAGGTGGGGGCGGGGGTCGGGGTGAGAGATAGATCGCCCGACTGGTCCTACGTTGGAGGGAGCTCTGCACTACCTGGAAGGAGAGAGATCCCTCAAGGGGTATGATCTCGGATCCAGTGACTTTGAATGGGTGTGACCGAGAGAGTCTGGCCGCCAGCTCCGGCTCTCAAACAGGACCCCGCCCTCTTTCCAGCAAATCGTAGCTTTTCTCCCCATAATGCCCAGCAGCCACTGCCAAGCCGTGCACTGCAACCTAACTCGACTTAACTCCACCTCGTCAACCGCCCCGCACAATTCCTCCTTTTTTATTGGCTTTTATAACTGTCACTCAGAGAGTTCTCGTATTTGTTGGTTGTCCCCTACCTACCCTTTTCTTTCCCTTGTAATCGCGCCTCTTTAATCACTCTCCGCCTCCTGAAGCCCATTTCCTTCTTTTGATTGGATAGTTGGAATGCCACTTTTCTCCGTACAAAGCTATGATAGGCTGTGCGCGGCAGGCTCGCGCAGTTACCAGGCAGCGGGCTAGACTGAGGCTAGTTACCACGTCAGTGAGCTGACAGGAAAGGTAGCCGGCTTCACAGCCCGTCCCGCCCGACTCATCCCGGCAGCCTCCGTGGTCCCACCCTGACTTCGTCTTCAACCTCCAGGAAACGGTCTCCTTCCCTTCTCCCACCTGCCACCAGAGCTGGGAGAGCTGCTCGGAGACGCCTCCGGGGCCCAGGCTGGACATGAGCAGCGGCTGCCGGTCCTGGGACTAGGCCCCGCCATTTTGGATCCGCTGACAGGT